TTTTTAGGGAACTTGTGGTATTTGGTTACATGAATGTTTGTTTCGTTACTGAAATATGGCTTTTGAAGAAACTTAACTAAAAGTGTGTTTGTGGAAAACAATATATTGACATCCAAAAGTCAAAAAAAAAATCGACTATATTCCAACGTTAATCTAAATCATTTGTGTGTTCTGCTCTATTCTTTTGAACCAGAATGTGACAGCATTGCATGACCACCCTGTATTTGTCATTCTATTTGTTTCCCGAAAAGGTGAGCAGCAGGACCTATATCCCTATATGTGTCTCAAATAGCAGTTCCTAGATATGGAGTTAAACATGTATCTTCATTTTGTTGTGATGTGAACTTAGGAACTTAGTCACTTTTCTGATGCCTGAAATTATAACAAATAATAAATAGCACTCTAGAAAGATGGGGGAGAAACATTCATTCAATCAAGAAACATTCTTATTTAGTTAGTTAGTTAGTTAGCTAGCTAGTTAGTTAATTTTGAGACTGAGTCTCAGTCTGTCACCCAGGCTGGAGTGCAGTGGTGTGATCTCGGCTCACTGCAACCTCTGCCTCCCAGGTTCAAATGATTCTCCTGCCTCAGCCTCCTGAGGCATTACAGGTGCCTGTCACCATGCCCGGCTAATTTTTTGTATTATTGAGTAGACGTGGGGTCTTGCCATGTTGGCCAAGCTGGTCTTGAACTCCTAACCCCAGGTGATCCACCTGCCTGAGCCACCATGCCCGGCCCGAAGCATTCATTTTTAAAACACAAATAAGTTTCACAGACAAAAACTTTCTGACATAAGATCTTTAATATTCAGAGCTCTCACTTTTTTATTGCATATGTCCTAAAGGTAACAGATGTTTGGCTGTGTAATAGATAAAAAAAGTATACCAATTAAGACCTTTTCTTGTCATAACTCTTTCTTTCCAGATTATTTCAGTAGAGGCTAGGAGACCCCAAATCCTGTTCTACTCTGCTCACTGGCTGGGGAACTTGCATGTCAACAATGGGGTTGTGAAGTGGGTTCACAATAAGGCAGTGAGGTGGGTTCCTTCCCCTGTAAGTAATTAGCTCACCTGTTCTCATCATCCACACTACTTGACCAAATAAGAATACACCAGTTTAAACCACAGATGGCTGACCCCCAACTCCAAAGTTTCTGATTGGGCAGGTCTGAAACGGGGCTCAAGAGCATTCCCAGCTGATGCTGTTGCAGCTGCTCTGGGTTTTACCCTTGGAGAACCATATGGGAGTTATGGGCATTCATGACACAAGCAAGCTTGTTGCATAATATTTCAAGAGATATCAATCAGTAGTTTTATTCCCATGTCACATAATGAATAATGAAAATGAAATGATATAGCCCTCTAAGAATTGTCAAACCCTGCATTCAAATTTCTCTTCTTTTTATTTTTTTTAATCCAAGACTTGTAATCTTTGACAGTTTTCTTCTTTTTTTTTTAACTGTAGCGCCTTGATATGTTACTCAATAAGTACAGTTACTGATTTTATTTTAATGAGGAAGTGACAGGAAAGGAAATCTTTCATACTGTTAATCTAGCTATTAGAAACAGAACTTCTTTTTTTAACAACAGATGGTGATCAAGCTTACACAAAATTTTGCAGGCATTTATTTAGTTCTTATGCCAAATGAGTTCAAGAAATCATTGTCTAGCAAAGACTTCAAATCATAAGTTCTTCTTCATCATAGCTGATAAAATCCAGAGGTAAATAAATTAGGGTTCCAATTCCTTCTTCTCTAAACCCCACCTTGGTCAGGGTTATAAGGAAAATTGCCAGCTAACCAGCATTGTTATTTTTAAAGAGCTAACATCATTATTATATATATATGTACACGCATTCTCAGTGCTCATTCTGTAAGTATTAACTAGTCTGTAGAAGGCTGCATTAGCACAGATTTACTCATCTTTCTGAAGCATAGTATTTTTCAAAGCTCTTAATAGCTTGGTTTCTTATCTCAAAGCAATAATGATCATGTCATAATTTCTACTAATTAATCCAAATTCGATGCATAGTAATTTAAATATCGTCTCTGTCATTCTACCAACATCATCCATCATGCATAAACACACACATACACACACACACACATACACGTACATACACAACATTTTAAAGTAATTTCTAGATTAAGCTTTCATACACTTAGAAAGCAATAGCCCCGTGGCCTTCTCATTTCTAAAATGCATTCAATGGCTTTCGTTTTTCTGTGAAAATCATTTTCCTAACAGTATAAGTCCTTCTTGAGCCTCTTATGGATTTTGTTTGTCAGTTTTCAACGGATGCATCTTGCTGGGCATGCTCACTAGAAATTTAAAATAAGATTAATTTTAAGAAGTATCATTGGAAAGTTAAATTTTGTATATAAAAATTATTTTTTTCTGTAGATTTCTGTTCGAGATAGGGCAATTCTAGGTCGTCTAATATATAAACTCCCAAACATTAGTGAGTTACACAATAGAAGCTCACTTCTTTCCCATGAGACAGTCCACTATTGGTGTTCTTGCAGAACCAAATTCCCACATGGCGATTCACAGACCCCACCCCTCAGTCCCCCACAACTCTTTCTAATAAGTCACTAGATCTTCCCCCGGGGCAGCAGTAATCCAGCACCACCAAAAATCTTCAAGACTCTTTTAGTGATTTCATGAGGTAATTTTTGTAATAATACTGAAATGTTATCTGTCTTTTTTATTCTCACCCCCAATGAGTTAACTGTCACATTCTCCAGAACTCTATGTGTGATAACATAGTCACTTGAATGAAGAATTAAGAAAGACAGTAATCTGATTTTCAAAATGTAAAACAATGTCAGTTTTCTATTTTTATGAAATATATTCCTCATAAAAATGCATTATGTTTACATAATGGGTATTTGTTTTATGATAAATGCGTTAAAATACTTTTTTAAGAATTTCTCAATTGTCATTTTGAATACCATAAGTACTGATGGATTATAATCCAGAAATAAAAAGCTCTTGAGATCTTCAGTATTCTTTAAGGGTGTAATGGGTTCTTGAGACCAAAAATTTTGAGAGCTGCTATGAGACAGTAATAGACATTTTCTTTTCTGGTTGTGTTAAAGGAAAGAGAGTGGGGAAGATATACCCATATCTTAAGCTCCTGGCATAAAAGTGGAATATATCAATTCTGATGCTATCCATTGGTAAGAACTAGCATGTGGCCCATGGTAAAGAAGGGCGAAGGCTCTAGGAAACAAAAGCCCTATCAGGCAGCCTCTCCAGAGCCACAGTTTGATGCTCTGGCATGAGGAGCACAAATCTTTGGTAGACAGACAACTGTCAATTCCATAATGTTCAATATAACAGTAATTATTCTCTTGGAAAGATATTTAAATTATTTGGAAGAAAATTCCTGAGTTGAGTTTTCTGTATGCCCCCTTATGAGGTAGATGAATCATTCTTCTTTGAATAACATAGCCATTTTCCAAAAGCAAGATGAGCAAGCCCAACAAAATGAGTAAAAATTATTCAGGTCCTTAAAGAGATAGATCTATCACACTGTGCAGCATTTACCATAGAAAGTTGTACAGGTTGTACATTGAATAAAGTTGACAGCCACAGAGCTCCTTGGAAGCTGAAGTCCAGCCAGCTCTTCTTAGCAAACTATTCACCCTAGTACTTGCCTGTTGCACCCCCAAAAGAGGCACATTTTATTTTTTTAAGAAAAACCCAAATTTACTTAATGGTATACTTTCATGTAATTTGCACAAAGACATCATACAGGCCATCAGCAGCTCTGTCTGTTGACTCTATGAAGACAGACATTTTAAATGTCTTATTGTTCTATTTCAGGACCTAAATTAGTTCCTGATGCATAGTAAAAACTCAATAGATATTTGTTGAATAAATACACAAAAGCATTGAGCCATGGATCAATATGTAACCAGAAAGATTCTTATAATGGCATAGTTTAATACTCTGTCATTGACCTGGAGACTAGTCAACATTTTTATTAAAGTCTTAGCTATAGAAAAGAAATAATAGGCCAGGTGCGGTGGCTCACGCCTGTTATTCCAGCACATTGGGAGGCCAAGGCAGGTGGATCACGAGGTCAGAAGATCCAGACCATCCTGGTGAACACGGTGAAACCCCGTCTCTACTAAAAATACAAAAAATTAGTTGAGCGTGCTGGCAGCGCCTGTGGTCCCAGCTACTTGGGAGGCTGAGTCAGGAGAATGGCAGGAACCCGGGAGGCGGAGCTTGCAGTGAGCCCAGTTCATACCACTGCATTGGAGCCTGGACAAGAGAGTGAGACTCTGACTCAAAAAAAAAAAAAAAGAAAAAGACAAAAGAAAAGAAAAAGAAATAATACTGATTAAATTTTCAGCTGACCCACATCTTAAAAAAAAAAAAATCAAAGAAATTAATGACAGTATCAAGGTTCAAAAATAAAAATGGCAGGGTAAATAATTAGGGCCCTCACTAAAACAAGTCAACTTAACCAAAATAAATATCTTGCTTGTAGACAAATTTAAAAAATCAATTTTCTAACTGTATGCATAAGAAACCTTGACAAAAATTAGTTTATATTTTTTAAAAGCTTTAAACACTTTTGTTGACTAAAATTATAAAAGTAATTAACAATATGATGCAGTATTAAAAATAGCAAATGATTAATTAATGTATCCAAACTTAAAGTAGACTTATTTGCCATTATACATGTTAAGTATTATATCCAGTTTGATATGTCATACTTTAAAAGCTTAGGTTTTTTCATAAAGACAGAATTTTTCCAGAACAATATTTGGCCTACAGAGACAGAATAAGGGGGGACGCAATTAGTGTTCATTCAATATTTGTCAAGCAAGTGACAATTGTTACCATCTCCCGGGGAGGAGTCCAGTGAGGGGAGAATAGTAAAGAGGATAGCAGTGCCTACCACTGGAGCAGCAGTCATGGACTGTTAACCCACTGCATGGTTTGCAGGTGTTGGGGTCTCCAAGAAATACTCACACGCGTACAGGATGGAATAATACTTTACTATCATATAGAAGAGACAGAGAAAGCCCAGTTTCAACCGTGAGTATCAGTTCAGTTTCTTATGACCAGTGGGTCTCGTCTCACAGTTGACACGGAGATGACCTGCATGCACCCGTCTTGGGCAGCAGGTGAAGGACCTCATTTCCTCCCAACCAGGGAGAGACATAACAGGGGATGCCATGTGATGAACATGCTTAAGCAGAACAAAAGAATACACATCTCTTCTGGAACAGGAAAAATATTCCCAAACAAAGAGATACACCCAGTACAGACTATGAAAGTTGTCTATCTTTTTTAAAGAACTGGTTCCAGACCCAAAGCACATTCTTAGCCAACCATACAAGGATTAAAAGACTGCATACCCATGATGGCGTTTCACAGCAATATTTATCTTCAAATATTTGAATAATTGTTTTTGTTGTTGGTGGTTGTTTGTTTGTTTGTTTGTTGTGTCTTCCAAAAGAAGTCCAATTTTACTTTGAGTCACTCTAGATGGTAGGACCTGAATTTATATTGGAAAGGTAGATGGACACATACTATACCTCAAAATAAGAAAAGGTGTCAAACAATTAAATCTATCAGAAACCAAAATGGATCACATTTAAATAATTGTGCTTTTTCTTCTAGATCACATTTACAAAGATCACAGATATTGGTGCCATGGTGAATAATTGTCCCCTTTATCAGGAAACATAGATGATGTTGAAGATTTCTATCTTGGCCAAGATTCTGTGTTACAGTGTGATTTTTTTTTTTTTTTTTTAGATTTTCAGTTATAAATTTTTAGTGTTACTCCATCAGTTACATATGTGTTACATATATTTTCATGTATCACATATTAAATAATACATTTTATTTATTTTTTTTTCTTTTTTTAATTTTATTATTTTATTTTTTTATTATACTTTGAGTTCTAGGGTACATGTGCATAACGTGCAGGATTGTTACATATGTATACTTGTGCCATGTTGGTGTGCTGCACACATCAACTCATCAGCACCCATCAACTCGTCATTTACATCAGGTATAACTCCCAATGCAATCCCTCCCCCCTCCCCCTTCCCTATGATACGCCCCAGTGTGTGATGTTCCCCTTCCCGAGTCCAAGTGTTCTCATTGTTCGGTTCCCACCTATGAGTGAGAACATGCAGTGTTTGGTTTTCTGTTCTTGTGATAGTTTGCTAAGAATGATGGTTTCCAGCTGCATCCATGTCCCTACAAAGGACACAAACTCATCCTTTTTTATGGCTGCATAGTATTCCATGGTGTATATGTGCCACATTTTCTTAATCCAGTCTGTCACTGATGGACATTTGGGTTGATTCCAAGTCTTTGCTATTGTGAATAGTGCCGCAATAAACATACGTCAATATACAGTGTGATTTTAATTGTAGTGTGAAGTAACAATAATATTAAATAGAAAATAAAACAAACAGTATCTTCTTCATTTGTTGCTATAGCAAAATGTTTACGGATTGGGTCGTGTAAACAACTGAGCTCCCATCTCACCAAAATGTTAGAAACTACAAATGTACACACAATTACCCCCCTAATTCTGTCTCTCTGCTCCCCACCTTTCTCTGCTCTCAAGAGCGAAGTGATTTCACCAGTTGTAGAGGTAAGTTATAACCAATTACTCTGTATCCTTACTTTATCACTCTCATCCATTTCTAACATCAAACTCCATAAAATGTTAGCATATTAATTCATGAGGTCATCCTGCCTATAGAGAGGCCATCCTATCAACAAGGATATCCAAAAGACGTATTCATTAAGAGTCTCTTTTTTAACCCACAGCAATATTGACGTTATCTTGTGCAGACATGTTTTATTTTTGTCACTTTTAATGATTATACTAACCTAAGTTTTTTTTAAAAATAGTAAGTTTCAGTTTATCTCACTCATTGTATTTATCCCTACATTAAAAGCTGGTTTTCCCCAAAAGTCTACATATTAGGTTTTCTAAACGGTGAGATAACACAATGATATTATGGAAAAAAGTGGATTTAAATTTTCTAATTCATATAAGCTATATACCTACATGCATATACTATTATAAAATTTGGTGAAAATGCTAGGAATGACACGTAGAGTCTATTTTCTATAAAAATTTTTTAGAATACAATAGAAACAACTTGTCTTAATACACTGAATTCAAAGAATTTTTGCATGGAAATAACACAAACAGCATGATTGTCATTTATAAAAGGAAACAAAAGCTTAGAAATTGATGAATACATACATTACAAATTAAAATTTCACTGTGACATTATTTCTTACCCAACAGATTAGCAAAATATTTGAAAATGTACCAAAGTATACTGTGTTCTAGAACAAGGGGAAATAGAAAAATATATTGCAGGTGAGCATGCCTAAAAGTGGTACAATGGAAACATTTAACAATATCTAGTAAAGTCACAGATACATTTGGCTTTTGTCCCTGAAAATCTCATATCTAGGAATGTATCCCAAAGATACACTAGAAAAAAAATAAAAAGGTATAGGCACAAAGCTATACATTAAAGGATGGTTTTTGTATAAGTGAAAGAGTGGAAACAACCCAAATATCTATCAATATGGGACTTACTTAAGAAATAACGAACGGCAGGCTTCATAAAGCAGAGCCCTCTGCTGCTGTAAGAATGACTGAGGAGGCTTCTATATGTTACTATGACGTGAAATTCTCCGATTTTTCATTATTGGGGGAAAAAAGCAAGATAAATAATAAATATATTTTGTCACCGTTTAAGAAAGGAAGGAATGTGAATATATATGCCTATATTTGACAAACAATGGAATGAAAAAATAAAATGTGTTTTTTTGAATACTTACCTACAGGCAGAGTGAAGGCATAGGATCAATGGTGCAGGGATAGGAGTCAGACATCTTTGAATACACCTGTTTTCATATATTTAAAAAAGCAACCCTCCCAAATAAAAAAGAAAAGAAAACAAATAAAACAAATTCTGTAACCTGTTTGTGACACAACTACCCAGAAAGTGGTTATTTCAAGACCTGTAATACATCATTTAGCAGTTTATCCCTGATGTGAGATATGCCAGAGGGGGAAAAAAATAACTGCAAAAATTGTTTTTAAAAAATTCTTAAATTGATTTCACCAATCAAATTGTTGATGAAAATTGGCATGGTCTTTTAGGACTTTTATGGAAGCAATTATGTGATATCTTCGTTCTATCATTGCTGGTATTGCTGTGAACTGGTATTCGCCGTGTGGCAGAAAGGAGATTTAAATTAGAGTTGATCAAATAAAAATTCAAGTGGTTTTAAACTGTAATTGGAAAAATCAGTTGAACTCATAGTATATTTAAGCTTTTTAAAAAAGAAACCCTACCTCCACTCACTGAAAAGAGTTAAAATTAATGACCTAAAATTGCCTATAAGCTAAAAGGAACTAAGGCTCCTTGGAAAAATGGCCATTCCAGATATGGAGCTGATACATACAAGATGAGACTAGAAGTTTGTACCTCTTAGTAATATAGACATCAAATACCACCTTAGTCATGCCAAAGAGAGTGTCAGTAAATTCGAAGAGGCTTCCATTAGCCAAGGAAGGGACAAGATGGATAATTGCTGCAATGTAGGGAAAATATCAAATATATTTGAAATAATGATTTTGCAATTATATTAAAACACACCAAAAAATCTTATTTGGTTGAACTATACTAGATAACAGACATGTTAGTTTAAAAAATGTTGAGTCAAAGAGAAAATTCAATCATTTATTCATCTTTTCTATGTGCATTTTGCCCAGTAGAAACCAAACAGAGGATGATGGGAATTTTGTATTTCTGGAAATATTACATATTATAAATGAATAAAGAATTCAAATAATCAAAGTAAATCGATTACTAATAGCTGTCAAATAACAGAAAGAAAGATAAAACTATGTGCCTATTACTTAAAGAACATATCACCACCAATGAAGGAGATTCAGCAAAAATATACCTGAATCTGATTAAGCTTCTAAATTCAACCACCAATGAATAGGCTATACATTGACAAGACAAATATGCTAAAAGATACTATGAAGACTCAGTAGGTTAAGTGTGGACTGTGGGAAACTCTAAAGGAAAGATTATAATATTTTTCCAACACACAAACATCAAAGAAAAACAAAGAAAGATGAAAGGAAAATGTCCGTCAAAAGAGAGGTCAGCAGCACATTTCAAAACAAATGCACTGTGAAAACTTTATTTGGATACCTAGTGAATTAAACTATTAAAAATATATTTATGATAAATTGTAAATTAGAATCCTGATTGCTATTTTGTATATTAAGAAATTTTGTCTTAGGTAGATGTGATCATGGTAATGCTTTTTAATTTTTTCAGGAATTTTTAATAGAGATGCATATTGAAGTCCAGATTAAATGTTATTCCAAGGTTATTTAACTCTAACATTGTATGGTCTTCGTAGGTGAGTGTGTTAGCTCAGGTTCCCCAGAAGGAGACCTCGAGTTAAGAATTCATGGGCACATTTTGTTACATGAGTATATGCACTGCTACAAAGAGCAGAACAAGAGTAGGTGAAAAGAAGTAAGATTTTATGCAAAGTTCTACAGAAGGTAGCATTAGCAAAATCCTGCAATGGAAGTCAAGAGTATACACAAATCTTTGAGACTTCCTGATTCAATGCAAAGGAGCTATGCTTCTATACCCTACCTCTGCCAATGACTGTTTGAGTGCTGCCCAGGGGCTAGTAAATTGCCAAACACTTCTGTCTTGGAAATGAAGGTATGGAGGCACAGAAATAGGAAACTGAAGAATTGACTGAATGCTGCAATCACTTAACGTCGAACAAGATTAGTCAGGAGTTGATACTTTTGGAGACCGGGTGACAGATGGTGGAAACATGGATGTTCTCTCTGTATTGTTCTGTGTACTTTTGAAATTGCTTCATCTCATCCCCTCCTTAAAAAAGCCTTAAATGATAAAAAAATATTTCAAAAACTAAAATAAAAGGCTGATTTCAAAGTAGTCCCCATCTAAGGTATACCTCGAGATATCAAGTTGGAGGTTCACGTATCAAGGTGTTAGCGAAGTGCTAGAGAAAGCTGTGGCTGAGCTCCATGGAGGGAGTGTGAGACAGAGTTTCAAAAGCTCAGTGTCTCTTTGGCTCCAGGCCAGCACACTCCCACCTCCATCCAAAGAGGCGATCACCCCCCACGATAATCAGTCAAGAGCTGTCACTGGTAAACTCCTTTAGATGGCAAAAGTCTTTACAGAGAAGAGTGTTTCCACCAATTAGCTAGAACCAACTTGGACAAAAAAGAAAAGGTACATTTAGCCTGATGATTCAACTGCAGGATAAACCAGAATCCAATAAGATGGTCAGCATTTACTCTCAACATTACTTGGATACAAAAGTACGCCCCTGGCTCTGCATTGGAAATGCATTCCATGCAATGCATTTTTAGGTACAAACAATAATACGCCTATAAAAAAGACTTCTGTTTACCTCACAAAAATTGCACTAAAATAATTTACCACTCTGAAGCCATTAATTTTAATGAGAACCCAGTCTCCAAGCAAATGAGACTATCTTGAGAGTAAGAAAGATTTTCACAAAAACAAAACCTTTCTAACAAGCAGCAAGCTAGGAAAATGGGTTCTGGATTTTTGTTCTGACTCCACCTCTTTGTTTATTCGTTTGTTTTTCAGATGGAGTCTGGCTCTGTGG